AAAATTACGGTATCAAATGATTTATAGTTAAAAACAAACAAAGAACTAAGTGACGTGTATTCTAATGAATAATTTGTAATTTAGGGTCGACATTCTAGTATACGAAAATACATACATGAGGGAAACACCCAATATCCAAAAGTTTTGCGGTAATAATATACAGGAATTTTTACTGAATTTTAAATCCTAAAAACTACTTTAAATACGCTTGTAAGTAAAATTGTTTTTCTGAGCGTGAAGTTTCTGAAACAGAATACTTAATATCTTTGGGAAAAACTCTAAATCTGCTTTCTGACTAGATTTAGATTTTAGATTTACTGAGAAGAATATTGAATATAAACAAAAACAGTGTTCAATTTCTAATAAATATCTTTCAAGTTTAACATCTAATATATACAACTAGATTATGCAGTAACTAAAGTGATTTCCTTCTAATAAATTGACCCATGAATGCGGTTACGAGGTCTTCATTGTACGATCATTATCAGCATGTTTCAAACGCTATTTAATTGCACTTGTGAACCGGTTATCATTAAAAGGTTAATCGGCGTGAAACAGAGTTTAAACAATTCACTCAGCGAACAAAGAGGGCTGCGTCGTTGAAACCCTTTTCTATAATTTACACAAATAAACGATGATTAAAATGAAGTTGGAATTGTAAAACCCTTTCGAAGTTCTGGTCATCACAAAGAACTTTTGATGCTTCGTTTAAACGAAACGCTCGTTCTGTGGAAATATTCTTTGAATAATCCAAACTTAAAAAAGAAACAAAACGTTACTTAAATAGTAATGACTAAAAAAAATCTTCATCTTGTCGGTTTGTTTTCTAGCATCATAGACAATAATGAAAACGATAATTTTGTAATATGTTTGTAGGCGATGTTGGTAAAAATAGAAGTGTCCAGTAAGCAATACAGTGAAACAATAAATGCATAGTGAGAATAATTGGGTTAGGTACATATTGTAAGAATTGAGGTCACAGATTAAAGCGTATTGACCCATTTTCGTGATTGCTTCACAAAAAATTCAAAATATGCACTGCTGAAATCATTGCTTTTGAAATTAACTGATATGTACCTACTTCAACTAACTTTGACTACGTATTATGAACTTCATGTTCAATAGATATGAAATCGGAATATATACCGAATATTCTAACAATTTTACTCCAACTACGAAATTTGTTTACCTAAAGGTCTTCATGGAGGGTACACAACAAATTGTTTACATTAATTTGCTTGTTAATAAATATTTCTTAAACAAAAAGGAGAAGTAGGTTTTATAGATGTAGGATTAGTGAATATCAACACGGAATTATCTATACAAAAACATAAAAATATTAGGTAAAAGTTGTGATATAATTAAAAAAAAGTAGGTATGAATAGAATACTTAATTTGTTGTTCAAGTAAACAGAATATTATAAATAGTGGCATTTTTAGCAAAAACGCCGACCTTTGAGATATCAATATGTTGGTTTCTTCCAAAAATATTTAATTTAAATATCAAAATCGCATTCCATGCTACTGCCCAAGAACATAATCCTTCTTTGCAAATATATAGTTATTTATTTCAGTTAAATTATTTAAACAACAAACCAAGTCCGCAAAATTTATTTTTTTTTTTAAAGAAAACGTGCTCAAATTATGTAATTAAAACTAGTACTCAGTTGCATGTAGTTATGCCACTTAAGTAAGTGGTCCGAATTTCCTCTCTCATTTAGGTTGCTGCCTTCCTCCAAAAGCAAAAAGAAAAAGGAAAGGGTGTAGTAGTCGAGAGAGATTGTTGAACGAAGAGAACACTTGGAAGTTGGTGTTGAGTAGTCAGAGTTGCTGAGGAAAAGTAGCAGGAGCCGTCGAGGGCGTAGTGACAGCTGTACTCAAGGGTTCCCATCAAACTTAAAAATATGCAAGAAGCGCTGCACCAGCAAACTGGGTCACTGTTCGATCTCGCTGGGTGGAAATAAAACTTGTCACGAGGTTGCTCTTGTTCGCAAATTGCGAAAAGAATTCAATTACACTTTTGTTTGAAGAAATATCGACTACTGCTTTCCCTGTTAATCAGATTAGAAGCGAAAACAGAATGAATGGGTGACAAGCTTTACGAGACGACATTCTGTTTGTCAGCAGAAACATGTGAGCCTCTTTCTAGAGAACTAGAGCACATAATAGCACTTAGAAGGAAATATTCAAATGCTAATGCTACAATTTTGCTTTATGCCTTTTGTGAAAAATGGAACTAGTTATTATCAGCCTTGGACAATGGTTTCATGGACATGAATCTAAAATCCCAATAAGATAGGTGCATACATACAGAACTACTACTAAAGAATATAAATATCAATTAAATGAAGAGGTTACTGATATCTTAGTTTTTGTTTTAATGATTTAATTGACAAACGGCAGATATCATTAACAGAAATTAATATATTATAATTACCTCCACATTTGTAAAGTTCCCATGTTACAATGCGATTCTTCGATATTGCTGGCCTAGGAGTCTATGCCTATACCTATTAGCTTACAAATAATGTTCGTATATTCTAGATACTAGTTATGAACTAATGAGTAAGTCAGTTTAGGAGTTTATTTTGAATTAGTCTGTTGTTTGCTGAAAGTCTTTCGTCATGGACATTTTTGGTACTTTTTTATAGACAGATACGCCTTTAGTGGTACGAGGGACTGAAGTTTTCCGTAAAATACAGATGCGTGCTGGCTAAATGCTGGCCCATTAAAATTTATTCTACTGCATCCGAAACGATTTAATGCCGTAAATATACTCATAAATGTGGTAATGAGGTCGCGTTTGTACGTGCAAAACAGTATCAGCAAGGCCCAAATGCTATTTTATTAGAATACTAAATCAACTATTATTAAATGGGTAACCGCCATGCTACGATATTTGATCGACGCACTGGCATTACTCGAGTAATTAGGTTGCATAAATCACATTCTACAGAGGTTTTGACTCCGCATAAATGGGTGCAAGGCAACGAAGAAGTTAATTATTAATTTCTGGAACCGCATTGTGTACTAGGTGCAAGAGCAGAACGCAGTAAACTCGCTTCTATTAATGCCTGGAAAGCAGTACTGTTAGAAATTTCAATTAGAAATTTCGCATCCGATTAATGGTTCTCTCTGTAGACCTAATGAACTATGTGAGGTTCCTTTGTAAGCTTTAAATATAACTGAAACTGGTTCTCGCATTAACTAACTCGCAATTTCTATTACACTCCACATTACAGTAACAAACAAAATTCTTTATCCATTGTTAGGTAAACACATTGTTTGTTGCCTTCACCTATGTTGTGACTTATTGATGTTGAGCAACCGAACGAAGTTACGTACATCATCATCATCGTCGTCATAAGGTAGTCAGTCCTAAGGCTGCTTGGACACGTACCTCCACTTTTTATATCCTGAGTTAGTCTTCGCATTTCCCTAAAACTAGAATATCCCACGTCCCCATTTTTGTGAACACTACACGATGACATAAATCTAATCGGAAATTAACTGGTCAGTCGCAAAATTTGGTCTAATAATGTACTTAGTTTTATAATAAAACCTTTTTTTTTAGATTTTTGAGAAAAAGGGTCATACTTATGTAGTTGTTACGTTTAAATTTTTACAATTGGAAGTATTTAGTTATTATTTCTCTATTCTTTATAAACAAAATTTCTTTATCATTATACTAACTAAATGTATCAATTTTATAGTCTTTGAAAAAGCCCACAAAAATTGGGGAAAACGTTAGATGTTGTACCATTGAAAACCAAAATATACCTATATCACCTGATCTAGTTCAGATTATTGTCACGTTTAATGTTTAGTGTTTATAAAATTATAAAAAGGGGTTGAAACACATCCTATGTTTATATTTACTGTAGATAATCTTATGTTTATGAATTAATGTTCTGATTTAATGTGAAAACGCCTAACAGAATTAGTCACGACCAATAGATTTTTCTCAAGTTCAAAAATGGAGACCACTCATAAAGCAGAAGGAGGCATACGTTATTTGCATATAAAGTGTACGGAAAAATCTTAACTCGTTTTCCATCGGGCATTAACATATTGAAAGGGTATGAATAAATAGAAAATTCATGACGCATACAACCGACACCTATACACATCCAACTATATACATAGACGTAAAGGGAGGCGATATTTTCCCCGTCAATGCCGTTCAATTTATTTTAAGAAAGAACCAAAGAACGACGTGTGGAGAAAATTACGTCCCCGCGAAATGCCCTCGGCGGCACATCGCCGCGATATCATAAGCGTTCGGCATTGGACGCATAAAAGGGGAAGCCTAAAGCCTAAAGTAAAATATTTTAAATTTCTACCACGAATATCTGGTCACGCTTTCTGATCACGTACTGTCATATTCCCATAGCGTTTTTTTCTTTCTTTGAATACACACCTCGTCGAAATTATGTCGAAAACGACGTGACACACACATGGGGTGCGTGTTCCAAATGAAGATAAGACAAGTATTAACTTCATATAATATACCTATCTAACGATAAGAAGAGGCAGAAATCCATTTAGGACTAGTATGCCCTGGAAGCATTTTTTTTTTACATTTTACCATCAGAGGACGTTTGCCAGGTATTTACGTTTACTTTAATAACTTATTTGCCACTATTCAAATCATTGTGTTCATCATGAATATAACAACAGTGTACACATTAGGTAGTTAATTTGACGACTGTGTACAATTCTAATGTAATTGTAATTGTATTCACCCAAAAATGTATGTCGGGTTTACTTGGTACTCAGACTTTAATAAAGCACTAAAAGTCAGAGACTGAGGATGACAGTTTTCAGATTTTGGGTTTCAGTGGTCTAGGTATTTATTTCACACACATAACTCCATTTCATTTTCATGTATTACATGGAGTTTTATAACTATCTTTATCTAATTTTCGTATAATTTTGACAAAATTTAATTACTAGTTCTAAATACGTAGATTAAGCATAATAATTCATTAATTTCTTACCGTTTTAAACCGAGGAGAAGTAATCACCTGAAACAAAAAAAAGAAACTATAAAATTGAAAAAATATAAAAACGATAAAAATAATTCTAATAAGTATCAATTAAGACGAAATGTAAGTACTATCGGTCTGAAAAGCAGAGTATAATTAAAATTTTTATTTGCAGTATAATTCGAGTATTTTATGCAAGGTTCTTTGTCCAATCGCGTCGACAAAGAGAAACAGAATCTGTCAATAAAGTCCCTTGGTAAATCTCGGCATCCTTGAAACGTCCTTATGACTTTCCGATAAAGATTTTTCCGCATAAAAGTATGGAATATACGACTGACTTTAAGGTTTGAGTGAACGAACAGCAGAAAGAATTTAGTGTCCCTCTGTTGAGATTTCATATTTTCCAGTCATAAATGTCGGCTATGCCGATGATTTACTTCAAACCGAATTCGTCGAGCTAGTAAATTTAACGATAAGTTTCCAAGTTCGTTTGAACAAGGTGTATCACGCTATCGCTATCACTAAAATGTTTTCGTCAAAGCACAATTCTCTCAATTGCAATAAACATTCTACTATTATTATTAGAGGTGTGAATTAAGAAAACAGAGTAAATTTAAACTTATACTTTTAATCAATAATTTCATTAAAAAATTACAATCTGACTAAATATGTTTTTTAATTCCTTCTCCTCTATACTTGTACGTACATGTTTTTTTGTGCAAGTTCCTTGTTAATAGAATTCCTTCATCTGGAAACATTGACGGTATGCATGGTTAACATACATATATAGCTGATAAACAAACGAGCGCAAGCGGGCGGTCGGTTCCACAAAAGAGGAGAGTATACAAAACCATTAATCACACTGCGGTATCTATAAATTTTCTCTAAGAAGCAATACATTGACTAAAGACGAATTAAAAGCAACGATGAATCTTTGCGTTGTTACTCCTCCTACAAGTGCAATGTACAATTGCTAGATACGTAGTGTTACGGACTCGGGTTGTTCTCGATAGGGGTAACTGATCGTTTCAGAAAAACATGTTTAATTTTTGAGGCCAAAGGTGGTGTTTCATACCGTAGTTGTTATCCTTAAATTTTTAAACATGGATGCAGTGGACAGTGGACCCCCGATAATCCAGCCCCTGGCTAATCCGGCACCCCGTGCAATCCGACATGGTCTATTATTTATTATGTATTGAATATTTTTTTGACAATCTTCGCAAATGCATGATTGAACAAATTATAACTTGTACGCACCACCACTATTGTGCTCGACGCGTAGAGTATTGTTTTGATTCTGATTGCTTAGTTTGAATTTGAGTACATGTGATGAAGATAGCGGTGCGGTCTAGCGTGGGTTCAGTGTTTATTCATTGTGTATTACGTATTCGTACCTAGTAATGTCGTAAAAAGCTCAGAAGCGAAAGCACAAAACACTGACAATTAAAGAAAAATGTGATATTTTAGACCGCCTAAATCGTAAGTCTTAGGCAGTACTCTATAATCCGACAAATTCGCTAATCCGTCACTGCCCTGCAAAACTGTTTGTCGGATTACCGGGGGTCCACTGTATGTTAAAAATGGAATTGGAAAGTAGAGAAGATAAAGAAAACTAGCTATAAATAAAAATAAATCTGAAAATAGATGCTACATTGAGGAAGAATTAGTGCCTGGATGATGGAAATTGAATTTATTTTCAGAAATATCCAGTCATTTTAAGAAGAAAATTTCTTTCGGAGAAATTTTCGTATAACATGAACGTCTGTTCATTTTGATAAATTAAGTTCGCTTAGGTGTAAAGGAACATCTAAAATCGGAGCGAAAGGTGGGAGTCATGCGGACACTATAAGTAATTTTCTGTTAAAGTAGACCGTCGTCGTTATTTAGAAAGCCATTTCATGGCAGAATAAGCAAAACGCGTGCGAGGAGTTGGCACCAACGGGGAGACGATGTTGTAATTCCACGTGTTACTCGGACGGTCGGGTCGATTCAAAGATGACCCTTGATATGGTCCCACAGGGCTCAGAACGAAAGCTAGCAAGCAAGCATACCAGTGATATTAACTTTCAAAAATAATGAAATGAGAACGCAAACCACTAGACGTATGCCACATGTAATAGTCGCCACGTACGCTGTGTACATACACACACATATGCATGTCCGTATTGTATACATAGGTACGTAGATAATTGCGTTCCAAGCTCAAGCAAATACTGGCCGGCGTCGTCATTAAAGCCGACCTTGCGGAAAAAAAAACGTAATGCGATACGGGACCATCTCATCTCAGTTTTAAGGGTAGACAGTTTAAATTGCTTTTCCTTTTAATCCAAAAATGTATACCATTAAAGTTCATTTTCAAAATATTACTCATATCTTCTCGTAATTAAAACATTTACAAGATCGGATAACTTTTCATTAGGGTTAAACGAAAATAACATTATCCAGCATACGTAGATACAGTTGCAAAATGAAAATTGCTATTAACAACCGCAAACATACAGCAAACAGAATAGTCCAAATGGTAATTCTAATAACTGACCTCTAGCTTCAAATTTTGTTTCGTCCCGCAAAGTTTTGGCCTATCATTTTTTAATAATGAGAGAAAAATAATAAAGGAAAGTAATATTCATTTAGAGTTACATACCAAAGTAAAATTAATTGAATTAGATTGCTGAACTGACGCTCTATTTCTATAATGTTACTAACCTCAAGATTGAGCTTTTAGTAGTTACTGTTGACTATTACTATCTTGTAACTATTTCCTGAATTTCACAACGTACAGCTAGTACAAAGAGTATTCCACCTAGTATCTGCCTAAAAAGTATTACAGTTGTTTTGATGTCAGCGCCAATACCAAACGAGAATTGATGAATGCACTTTAGTCTGTAACACTGAAACTCACTCCAAATTAATGCCTGAAACACCAATCGAGTAAGTATTAATGTAGGTATTTATTCTGGTATTAAGTGCCTTGAATGGTGTAAAAGCATGTGACCATGGAAGAAACTAGGTTCTATTAATGTTGATTCGAATGTCAAATTTTCCCATTAACCGAAACTGATTGGCGCTATACGTAGTGTTTTAGAGTCGACGCATCGCGATATCGCTCGGGTAATTAATATTCATTGTTTGGGAGTTCAAGAAGCCTGATGAAGGCTCGACTGTTGGCTTGCTAATCCTACTGCAGTAGTTAATCAAGGCCACCCGGGACTAGTCCCTGCCGTCACCCCGTCGTTGCCGAAGCGGAGGCAGAACAGCAATTTTATCCGATCGTTTTATTGAACCACTCACGCCAAGGCAACTCTACGGGACGTGTGATTGTTTACCAATACAATGGAACATCGGAAAACTCGTTTGCTGGCTATGTTTTTCCCGTTGCATCGTCAGTTCTAAAGAAATTGAGTAAATAGAGAGATTTTTTCCTGTTGATCAACTGAACGAACACCGTGATTTTGACCGAAACTCAATGCGCGAAGGTAAGCACTATTCCGACAAATAAAAGACAAGTAATTGTCAGAAGAACCTTGGATAAAAATGAGTGAAATTATTGATCCAGAAGGTAAAATATACGAAATTAGGTTAATCGGTTACATGAAAAACGTCAGCTTCGCAATGGCAACCTCTTTAGTGTTGCATCTTCTTCCTCCGGGAGATATGTACCGACCATTGCCTTTAATTCATTCTTCATAATACCTTTTCCGTTTCGCATCAGACATATTCTCTTTTGACTGAGAAGGATGCCCAAAATCATTCAAGATACGTTCCTTCACATTGACTATTTCTTAAAACTATTTTCATGTTTGTCTATGACCATAAGTGTGTAAATATATATAAACCATTATCTTCAAAACCTCCGTATCGAAAAATATCTAAAATAGTACGCAAATAAAGAGTTCTGTCTGATTTTGTTTATTTAAAATATTGCTAATTTAAACAAAGAACAAGGTGTATGCTTGGAGCACGGCGATGTACGGGTGCGAAACTTGGACAGTGGGCGCAGCGAAAAAGAAAAGATTAGAAGTGTTCGAAATGTGGTGTTACAGGCGAATGATGAGGATACTGTGGACAGTGAAGGTTAGAAATGAAGAGGTATTAGAAAGAGTAAGAGAACAGAGGACTCTATGGAGTCAATAAGAAATAGACGAGATAGGTTAGTAGAACATCTTCTCAGGCATGAAGGTCTAGTCAGAGACATAGTAGTGGCAGAAACAGACGTTATGAGGGGTAGAAGTAGACCTAGAGTAGATTACTGTTCGCAAATAGTTAATGATATGGGTTGTTCTAGTTTTAGGGAAATGCGAAGATTAGCTCTGGATAGGAAAGAGTGAAGGTACGTGTCCAACCAATCTTAGGACTGACGACCTTAATATGACCAAACAAAAAAAAAATAAAAAGGGAGAAGTAACGAATTTACCGCTTTTGACTCAGAATAGGCAACGACATTTATTGTAATTTTCTATACGTATCCGTTGTATATTATAAAATGCCCGAGAATGCTCATAAAGTTTACATTTATTCTGTCTAATACTTAAGGATTTTAGGAAGGGAAAGAAATCTTCAGAACCTTAAGTAAATGCCTCCTTTCGCACAAATAACTGTTTTTGCGGACGGGTTAATCCGACAAAGAAGTATAGAGGCATGCGATAAAACCAACCAGTTTTGCTTGACCAGGGGTGTATATTTATAACAGCGGCGGCACGTCAAATTAAGGGTAGTTTTTTCATGTTTTACTGTTTAACAATTTAATTGTGTTATAAAATTATTATAACCGTTATCAATTTGTTGAGTTTACGGGTCTCAAGTAACTGTAACCTAATTGAATTTGTCAATGTGGTAAGAAACGGTACACGGGATAGTGATTTTACCGGTGTTAGTTTTATTTTTCCTCGGGTACCGGTGTCATTATCCGGTACCCGGCCGGATCCTAAAAACAGTGGCAGATCTACCGGGCACCGGATCCAAACCAGGTAACTGACCCATTTCTAGCAAATACTCAAATTAAAAATATGTAATGAATCGAAAAAAAATACAAGTAAATA